GGAGCGGTCACCGCATCCCAGCGCCCCCTCCAACCTCGGAGACTGCGGTTGCCGACCTATCGAACCGACACCCCTGGCTTAATCACTTTCTTGGGCTGGGGCCCTACCTGCTGCCTACCACCCTGTAGTCTATGGCCTAGAAAAGGGGTTTGCGTAAGCCCAGCTGTGTGCCGGTTCAAAGCGGGAGTTCAGGGACCCAGGGGGCTCCTGCCGTCCAGCCTTGGGGTCTGGAGTAATTTTCAGGGTGCTGGGTTGGGGGCTTCGGTTATGCATGGGGAGGGTATCCCCGGGTGTGGTGTTCCTTCCACCACTGCAGGTGAAGCCCGGCTCCTTCCTCCTGGTGTCTCAAACTCCAGCCCCTGGCGACCTGGGCGTGGCTTGGGGGCCTCCCTGCCCTTGGCTGCTACTCTCCCCTGCGACAGTCCCTCCCAAGGTCCTGCCGGCTCCTTTGCAGGGAGGTTGGGAGGGGGGCTGGGTGGCAGCCTCTCCTGGGACACTGCACCAGAGTAGTTTTCCTCTTGTGACCAGTTAGGTGACCACCGAGTCCAATTGTCCAGAGGCTGTTCTGGGGGCAGCAGCAGCGTTTTCAATGACAAATGGCAATGGGCAGACGAGGAAGGTATTAAGTGCCACTCGCCTCTCTCTGGAGGGGAGCTGATAGTGAAGGGCTGGTGGGGATGCGCTTGTGGGAAAGGTGGGCTGGAGGGCTGCCGGAACCTCCCTCTCTGGAGTGCTGGGCTTGCAGGGGTGGGGGGTAGGGGTAGGGGTGTGGTGAAGCAATTGTAGGCTCACAGTGTGGTGTACCGGTGGGAGATGCGGAATTCTAGTTTAGGCAAAAATCTTTACCAGTGAGACACAACATGCCTGTGCTTGTCCTACAATGTAGGACTGTGTGCTTAGCTTGCCCTTCTCAGCAAGCTGCCGCCCCCCCACCCCCCGCCCCTGCGCCCCACTGCCAGCTCTGGGCACTGACCCAGCAAAGTGGAGAGCTGCAGAATGAATGAGTCCCCCCAACCCAAAAAAAACCCCTAACTCCACCCCGAAGAAAAACCCATTGCTTTCCACTTGGTTCTGGCTCCTACTGGCCTTGTAGGACAGAGCAGGACTGCCCCACTGGGCTTCAAAGGCTGTCCTCTTTACAAAAGTAGGCTGCCTCATCTCACTCCAGCTGGTATTTGAACCGCTGACCTTTTGGTCAAAAGCAGAGTGCTTTAATCACTGTTACTCAATCTCCCTCCTCAAACCGGCTGCCATTGAGTTGATTCTGATTGATAGCACTCAGATAGGGTTTCTGAGTCTATAAATCTTTACAGGAGCAGACAGCCTCGTTGTTCTCCCTGGGAGCGGCTGGGGGGTTTGAACCGCCGACCTTGCAGTGAGCAGACCAATGCTTACTTGATGGCACCACCTTAACTAACTTGATGGCTCCTTAACTAACAACACTGCTGGTAATTCAGCCCAAGGCCATGTGTTCTGGAGGATGGGGAGAGGGTGTGCTATTTATGTGTGATTGTCATCTCCCGTTGGGTCCTAGGAGGACCTTCTGTGACCTCTGGAGAGCAGAGTGCCAGGCCTTTCTTCCGAGCCACTTCCGGTCATTCAGACCACCAGCCTTTCAGCTCAGAGTCTAGGGCTTAACCATCTGTGCAAGCCCGGGACTTGCCGAGACCTCTCCTTTTCTTCACTGCCCTCTCTGGCTGACCCTGGACTGGACAAAGAGCTCCTCTCCCCAGCCCGAGCTTAGATGGGATCTCATTGGAATTCTGAGCTTGCCTCAGGGGTCCTGATTGAAGGCCCCAGTGTGTTTGGTCACCGTAGTAGCCTTTTGCGTTTCAAACCAAAGCTCTGATTTTTGCCTCAGTCCATATGCTGAGTCCCTTGCCCTCCAATCCTTGTGAAACCCAGCCAGTTTGGGCACAAGGGGGCACCCTGTCAGCTCTGGGTCATTTGGGGGTGGGGGTGGGGGTCCAGGTCCAGTCTGGTCCAGCAGAGTCTGAGTGTGAGAGTGGGGGGTGTCTGGGGGAGCTTGCACCCACCGGTAGGGTGCTTCATTTTCCTTTCTGATGTTTAGATAGTTATGCGTTTTTAACGGCCTGATTTGTGTTGAAAGCCAAACACCGAGCTTCTTGTTCATTACCATGCGGTTGAAAATATCTAACAACAAAAGCTGTTATTCATTGTTCCGGGAGTTCTGAAAAGGCCTTGGAAATGCTTAAAAAATGTTTCTAACATGACACTGAACATTTTTGATATCTGAGTCATTAATAAGTACCTAAGTTTAGTACCTAACACACACACACACACACACACACACACACACACACAATTGAAAAGCCAGTCTTCTAATGCAACGGCTTAACATGGAAATGACCTTTGCAAACGGTTATATTCCTGCTTGTTTTCTCTAACTCAAGTGTTCCCAATAGCAGCCTGGTGTTTCCTTTGTGGGCTGCCCTGAGTCGGAAGAGCGCCTGTGTCTCGGCAGGGTCTGGGGCCTCGTGTTGAAGCAAGGGAAGTGCTGCGTTTGCTTTGCTTCACTGCAAAGCCTTCCCTGGGAAATCGTTGGTGTTGGTTGTCCCGGGGCCGATCCTAACTCAGGGGACCCTGGGTGTCACAGACACCCCCTTAGGGTACCCTCGGCTGCTGTTTTCCCGGGAGCAGAGCTGATGCATCCTGAAGAAGAATGTTCTGGGGGAGTTGCTATCCTTATCTGAAACGAAAGCATCAGCGCTTGTGTTTCTCTTCGATGACTTTGCTTTCCCCTTTGATGGGCAGGGTACAGGGCGGGTGCAGAGGGGGTGGGTGTTTGGGGGTGGGGTGGCGGGTGGGGCTGGGTTCCTGGCCTTTTGATGCTGATCCCATGTGAATGTACACTTCCACCTGGAAGCAGACCCGGCTTGGTACTGCTACCGAGGAGGGTGGTCCTCATGGGGCCAGCGATGTGGTCAGCCACGTGACAGCAGAAGAAATCTCTCTGCACCCCAAGTGCTCCCGGGGACGGGGTTACTCGCCCTCCTGGTCTCCCCCCACCCCATCCCTGCAGGGATACATTCTTGGTGTCCAGTGGCTCTCTCTACTGACCTGCAGATATTCTGCGTCCAAAGCAGAGAAGGACTGATCTTCACTGAGAGGAGAACCCTGGTTGGCTTGCTGGCTGGGTAGTTTTCCAAAGATAAGCCCCAGGCTTTGGAAAGTTGGGGTATTTTGTGGCATTTCCTGCCGGTTACTGTTGCATTAACCTCACGACTGTAGCTTATAGGGGGTTGAGAACTGTAGTGGGGTCTCCCTGGGTTCCAAAACCCCACGCCACCTTGCTACCGGCTCAGTCAGGCAGGTGGTGGCATCCTGCCTGCCTAGGGTGACGTACACTGGAAGTTGCTTGTATATGAAGCCAGCAGGTCTTGGGGTGGGAGGGGAGGCCTGGGTCTCATGGTCCCCCCAGGTCCTTCTCTCGGGGCTCCTGATGGCCGAGGGTGACGAGGGGTTGGCCCAGAGACAGAGACCTCTTGAAAGACAGCTACCATGTCAACTGAGGCCCTGAGATCAGCTGAGGTGGTGGCCATGGGGGTTTGCTACCACAACCCAGCCCCACCTGCCTGGGGACCCGGACTGGAGCCTGTCCTCTGTGGGGTGGCCGCTAGCAGGGACCCTGATGTCCCCACTTGGCTTCTGAGGACACCCATCCACGCACGTGCCCTTCCACAGTGCTGTGTTGGCATTTGCATTTTTTGTGCGAGATTCTGGCCAGGTGCCAATTCATTGGGCTGTAGAAAAAAAATGGATATTTAAGTGCAGGCTCCTACCGAAGACAGAAGAGTGCCGGTGGCATAGTGATTACACACTGGCCTGTGACCTGCAAGGTCTGAAGTTCGAAACCACCAGATGCTTCTCAGGAGAGAGGTGGCTCCCGCTCCTGTAAAGAGTCACCATCTCAGAAACACTGCCAGGGCAGTTCCGCCCTGTCCTCTAGGGTCACGGGGAGTCGGCGTGGACTGGAAGGCAGCGAGTTTTAGGTTTTGAGGTTGACGACCTACTGAGTTGAAAGTTCCCCTCCATGACCTCTCCCCTGGCTCATGGTTTCCTCTTTCCTCTTATTGCTTCCCTGTTCTTCAGTGTGTTCAGTGTAGGAGCCCTGGCGGCACGGCGGGTTTAGCACGGGGCTGCTAGGGAGAGGCCAGCAGTCGGAGCCCTCCCCAGCTGCTCTAAGGGAGAGTGAGCTGCATCCCTCTGCTCCCCTAACGATGCCTGTTGTTGTTAGGGGCTGTCAAGTTGCTTTCAATTCCCAGCCACCCTGTGTGCACGACAGAATGACACGCTGCCTGCCTGGCCCCGTGCCACCCTCACAACTATCAGTGGAGCCCGTGAGAGCCTTGAGAGCCCAGTGGGACATTTCCGTGCGGTGACGATGAGTCGGAATTGCTCGCTGGCAGGTGGGCTTGGGC